AGTACCCAGCCCCCCAAAACGACGACGACGACGACGATCACGTGTAGTATCTGTTCCGATCCGTTTGATATCTGACCCGTGGACCATCGGGAGTTCTTTCAAAAGAAAAAAAATTTATGGAAATACGGCGCGCGGAAGTGCGCGCGCACCAGAGATTGAGAGAGAGAGAGAGAGAGAGAGAGAGAGAGAGAGAGAGAGAGAGAGAGAGAGAGACCCCAACCTAACTAACTATCCTGCCCCCCAAAACGACGACGACGACGGTCAAGTGTAGTATCTGTTCGGATCAGTTTGATATCTGACCCTTGGACCATCGGGAGTTCTTTCAAAAAAAAAAAAGAAACGGAAAAACGGCGCGGGGAAGTGCGCGCTCGCGCGCATGAGAGAGAGAGAGCGAACGAGAGAGAGAGACCCCAAACTAACTACCTCGGCCCCGAAACGACGGACGACGATGAAGATCAAGTGCAGTATCTGTTCCGATCCGTTTGAAAAACGGCGCCCGCAAGAGAGAGAGAGAGAGAGAGAGAGAGAGAGAGAGAGAGAGAGAGAGAGAGAGAGACCCCAAACTAACTAACTGCCCCGCCCCCAAAACGACGACGACGAGGACGATAAAGTGTAGTATCTTTTCCGATAAGTTTGATATCTGACCCGTGGACCATCCGGAGATCTTGATTTAAAATAGAAAAAAAAAAACACGGAAAAACAGCGCGCAGCAGAGCGAGCGAGCGAGAGAGAGAGAGAGAGAGAGAGAGAGAGAGAGAGAGAGACCCCGAACCAACTACCCCGCTCATCCCCCACAACTTCTCTACTCTGCCGCCCTTCTCCGCCCTCTTCCCCCGCTTCTTCACTCTCCCCGCTCCTCCGCCACACCCCCACAGCTCGGGGAAAAAAGGACGTGCCTCCCCTCCGGTCTCTCTCTATGTGCCTGGCGCCAAGCTTGCCCAGGAAGGTACATGAGGCCAATGGGGATTCCACATGTATGCACAGAACCCCTGCCTTGCTGGCGTTGTCAACAAAACTATTCAGCAAAAAACAAAAAAACACACAACAAAACTATAACAGGAAAAAACAAAAGAAACACAACCACGGAAAACAAGTAGCATTTGCTTTGTTTTTTCTTTGTGAGTATTTTTGGGATCTGGCCACATTCGAGGGAACTCTTCTAGTTCTCCTCTTTTCTTTTTAGGTGCCCTGCCAGGTAGGCAGGGCGTTGTAGCTGTTCCCATGGCCGTTTCTTTTTTCTCGTGTTCTTTTCAACTCTAAGGCCCGGAGCCCATTGCCCGGCGGCCTGGAAAAGTTCGGGCGCTGTAGTGTTTTCCAGACCCCACAAGCTTGGAAACCGGTGTGGAAAGTCGGCCCGGAAAGGAATTCCCCAGACCTCACCGTGCTTGGAAGCAGGTCATGGAAATGCTGACGGGGCGTTTCAACTCGGTTGGCGGCCTGGAAATTCAAGGCCGACCGCTTTCCATTCCCTTTCCAAGGAGGCGTCCAGACGAGCAGGGGGGGGGGGCATGTCCATCCGTTTCCAGACAACGGCTGGACGGCGTGGACCACGCACCCTCGTCGGGGACCGTTTTTTGGACTGGGAGGCCGCTGTGGACATGCTCTTGTTTTTTGCCGTCCCCACGGTTCTCCCAAGCTGGGCCATCCATGTTCCCCTCAGTTGACGAACGGCATGGTGCAGCATTCAAAATTCGAATTTTTGGCAGGGTGAGGACGAAGGCCAGCCATGCAGTCACGATATTCATTTCCTACGCGTGCATGGGGAGCATGAGCAGTGATTCCGATAGCTGGCCGTCGCCGACACCTCTATTAAACCCTCCTGCCTTGCGGGGTCCGTGCATGATGCCATCGCTCATCTCTTTCATGCGTGTAGGGCGCGAGGCCTGTCTACGGGGAAGCCGTTTCGGGTGGCGTTGTCAGGCGGTGCACAGTCGGGGCTTGCATTCGGAAGTTGTGGGTTGTGTGGCAAGCAGCGTCTTTGGAATGCGCGGACGAGAACCTGTGTTCTCGGTGTGCACCCGCGCGCACATGTACTGACCGATGCTGTGCTCCCATGTTGTTGCCATGACACATTCCGTGCTCCATCGTCTACCTCCCTTGCCATCCTCACTTCTTCGTCTACCTCGCCAGGGCGTGAGTTTGTCCTCGCCAGAGAGCAACCCCAACACATGTGGGCAGGGATGGGCTGCACATGAGGGTGTGGTTATAACTCATCCACACACTCGCCACGTGTCAATCGTCGAACGCTATCGTTGCCCGTCTGGATGTGAGTGGTGCCATCCACGCTGTTGTGTGGATGTTGTCATCAACAACCACTGCTGCGGAGGCGGGCGACGAAAAAAAACATCTTGGGCTGTTTTCGTAGGCGAGGTTGCAGTCGTCATCATCCTTTCGACAACTTTCTTCTTCTCGGTTGTTTTTTGGTGCGTGCTCGTTTACTTCTGCTGTCGTGGGTGGAGAAAGCACCGAAGGGGTGTTCTCCGAGGAAGCAGTACGTGGTGTTCGGTGTTGCCTTCATTGTTGGCGCTTCGCAGCGAAATGGAGTCATATCGCTCGAGGACAGATCCATGTGCAGGCATTGATGGGGGATTCCTGTCTCAGGACATGCATACGCAAGGATTTGTCCCGTACTCCTTGCCTTCACCGGCAACGGTGCAGTCCTTCAGTGGGCCGTTGCACGAGGGTGTGCGGGCTGGGCCGATTCATGTCACACCTGCTCCTATGCCCTCTCCATCAATCCATCATGCGGCAGGTGTACGTCGGCGGTTCGCTGTTCGGCCATCTGCACACACTCTGCCCGCGGGGCCCGTGCACACGGGCCAAACCTCATATTGCACACAAGTAGGAGGCGGGTATGGCATGCCCGGTCCACACACGATTTCATTTTTTTCTTGTTTTCTTTCTGTTGGAAACCGCTTTTGCGCTCTGATAAGTTTGTGACAACATATATATATGATGGGGTGTGAACCGACAGTCTGTAGAGTTTTCCATCTGGTGTGGGTGAGTGATAGTCTACTTTGATTTTGGTTAAGGTGTATTATCACTTACAGTGTAATCAGTGAGGGGATTCTACAGACTGTTGAGGGTTCAGCCTCCTGATGAGTCGGTGAAACTCCGACGAAACAGTTTGTCACAGCCCCTCGTTTGTTGTCCTCTTCTCCCTCTCTGCCTACGGTTTACCGGGCAGTTCTATTTGACGATATATATATATCAACCGACCAAGGGAGGAATAAATCCATAAATGAAAATAATAATCAACCAATCAATCAACAAAGATCAAACAATCAACCACTCGTTTTGTCAATCAATCGTTCAATCAGTCCTTCGGCAAACCAACATGCATTCAATCAATTAATCATACATACAATTAATCAATCAATTAATCAATATTAATCAAGCAATCATCCATTCAGTCAAGCAATCAGTGCATGAATTGCAATTTCCTGAAAATGACTCCATTTCATGCCGTGTGAAGTAGTGCGGTGACAAATCGAGAGAGAGAGAGAGAGAGAGAGATTTCATGGAAGGTTCTCCTTCGTAATCAAAGCAACAGTTGTTCAGTACAACAGGTTCAGACACGCACACACAGAGGTTCGGACACGCACACACACACACACTCACACACACTGACACCTGAACGGTGGTCGGCTCCGGCATTCCCACGACCACAGGTTCGGACACACACACACACACACACACTGACACCTGAACGGTGGTCGGCTCCGGCATTCCCACGACCACACATCCACGATTACACTATCGCCATGGACATGGCGCCAGTGCACCATGAACATCGACATGATGGGCCACAAGATCAATCAAGCTAGCCCTGACCCTCGTTCCGAGGTGGGAGCCATAACTGGGATCAATCTCCGGCATGGCTTCGATGTTGAGGTCGGGAATATGACGTGGCACTCGCCACTGGCGGCGCCGGCGTGGACGGGGTTGCGTTGTGGACCCTCCTCATCACTGTCGCTGCTATGGTTCATCAGGGCTGGGTCGATCTCCACCATGTGCTCAATCATCAGGTTGTGTAGTATGCACACAACCATGAATTCCTGGCGCAGGGTTTCCAAGTTCGCAATTTGAGTGCGGATGAAATTCCTGCATACGCTCTTCAATCGTCCGAATGTCCGCTCTATACAAGATCTCACCGCTGCATGACACTTGTCGTATGTCCGATCTGTAGAAGTTCTCGCAAATCTACCCATAGGTGTCATGATCCACGAGTGAAGGGGGTAGCCGGCATCGCCAAGCAGGTAACGACCGACATGTCTTCCATCATGCATGATAGCTCCACCCCCGCACAACACACCTCTGCCTGCCATGGTGTTGTGGTACAACGACGACATCCGCAATACATGCGAATTGTGCACCAACCCTGGGCAACCGACATACACACTGACAACTCTACACTCGTTGTGACACACGACCTGCGCGACAACCGAGAAGTCTCCAGTGTGATGATAGTAGCACTCTGACCGCATCCCCTTCAGCTAATCGATATACACGTGTGCAGTCAATGGCCCCCACACATTCGAGGAACCCCTTCGCCTCGAAAGAATTTTGCACGTCTTCCAAACGGCGTCCTGTAGGGAATTGGAGGAGGTGGCCGTACTCGTGGAGGATAGCATCTGCTACGTCCTCGTTGCTTCTCAATGCACTCGCAAGGCCCGTACCCAAACTGTGGGCGGATTGCCGGTAGTACCCGCCCGTTGCCCACCGGATGAGTGCGCAAGCAAACTTCTGCCCGGCTGGTATGGGCAACTGAAAATTAGTAGGCGAACGCTGGATATGGGGGCCGATGCACTGAAGAACTTGCAAAACCAGTGGTCGCGGTAATCTGCAGAACCGCAAGAACACCTTATCGTGCTCTACACCCACCCTTTGAAGGTCCTTCTACAAACCTCCGCTTCACTCCACCATACACAATCACCTTCTCCGTTTCATGTGTCTTTCCAACTCCTGCTCCGCCAAGCAGCTCAACGCCATGCCGTGAACCACCGCCCGTGCAAGCATCGTAAGCGCCCTCGACACATCCTGGAACATGAACAGGGTGATGGCAACAACTTCGAGGATGGCCATGGCCGCAGCATTGCGCCTGTTCACCCATTGGGTCATGAGGAGAACGAGCATGAACATCATGTCTTCCCACTCGTCCTCCGAACTGCCCACATCCGATGGATATATGGCCACGCTGTGACTGTGATGGGAACGACGACTGACCCTTGCACACCAGCTGTCGTGGCCACTTGATGAGCGCACAACCTTCGCGGACCCACACTCCTCGCCAAACCCTCCTCCTTCGTCGAGGACTATGGCTTCCCATCAGTGCTCCGTACCTGCACTCCCACTCTGGATGGTCCCGTCGGGAAAATGGTTCCGACAGCAGGAGTGTGTGTGAGGGGGGCTATGAATCCCCCTCGGCGGCGGCCATCCGCGGACGCGGCCAGTCCGCCGACCCCGCGGACGCGGCCGCGCGGCTTTGAAGCCACGTGGCGGCCGCGGGGGAACGACTTTGAGAAATCGGGAGACGCCACGTGGCGGCGCATCCCCGGCCCCACCCCCCCACACAAAAAAAAAACGAAAAAGATCAACTTTTGGGTGGGGGGGTATGGGCGAAATGGAA